AGTATAGCTGACGGGGAGAAACTTGGGTGTATATCACTTTTACCCTGTCCCTTAGCTGGTGAGGTTTAGTCCTGACTGCAGCATTATTTAAAATAGCTTTAAGATTGTTTAGTGTTAGAGTCAGGAAACTTGCCTTCTGTGCCTTTTTACCTTGTCCATTACTTATTTATTAAGAGTTTTAGCTTACAGAGATAAAATTAAACTATCCAGGTAGTTTTAGTAGTAATTCTGTGGAGCTTCTTCAAAGCAGCTTTTTATTGGTGTCCATGCACATGTAGATAGAATGCTTAAAATTGATTTTGTGGCTGCTAAGGTAGGCATGTGCAGGCAAAGAAATGCCAGAGATTCATGCAGGGTTTTTTTGGTTTCGTTTGGTTGGTGTCTTGTTGTTGTTGTAGTTGTTTGTTTTTTTACCATGCAGCCTTTATAAACAGCATTTGGGAATAAACACTATCAAATTTCACATACTATACACTGCAATCTTAGATCTACGTTCTTAATATCTAACAGCCAGGCTCACATGCTTAAATTTCTGCAGTGCTTCAGAAATACGTTGTAGTTATTACTTAATTGATATGGATCACAGAATCAAACCAAATATTTAAAAGCATTAGGCCCCCAAATAATCAGGTAAACATATTCCTAAACTCTTAGCCAGATGAAGCCAGGAGCCAGACACACAAATTATTGTTAGTGTTTTTCCAAATGAGTACATTAGATCAGATTCTTAAATCTTCCCTTGGACAGCTGAGTAAAAAGAGTCTGAAAGCACAGCTATGCTCCTGTCTGGTCCTGAAAACATGAAATTCAAGTTTGAAATGGGGAGATGTGAACAGTGCTGGTTGGATCAAACACAATACCAGGTGTAAGGGCTGCACAGCTGCTAAACAAGGTGATGAGGCCATGAGGGTTGGTATGTGCCATGTGAATGTACTGGTTCAGACCTCCTTTAGCAAGGGGATTTCACTGCTTGTTTCCAACACAGTTGAGCACTTGACCCCAGCATCTCCTTCCCCAGAAAAATGATTGGCAGAATCTCCAAAAATGGTGAGTGTGTGTGACCTTGGGAATCTGCTTTGTTTTAGGCTTCATGACCTATGGTACCGAACTGCACGTACTTTGGGCTCTGGAGTTTTGTATCTTGGGGTCAAAGCCTGTGGGAAAGGAATAACCCTGCTACCAACAAGCATTTGAAGTGTGTAGGATAAAAAGTGCTGTGTGAGGGGCTGCTGACAAGCATCTGGACTGACAGAGATGACCCTCTGCTGTTGACTTAACAGTTGACATTCTGCAGACTGAAAGGAGGTGACCAGTTCTCTGGGGATGGAAGAGTACAAAACATAACCAAAGATGAAAAGGAACTTTAGAAGCGCCTTAAGTTGAGATCCTTTGAAATCCCTTTGTGCAGGCTGTCTGCAAAATGCACAGTACGAGAGAGCCTCACACAGGGCAGGTGTGTGGAATGGGAAGGAAAAGCAGGAAAAACAGCAGTTCCCTGACATCTCACAGGAATTCAGTGTCATAAGGAGAAACTGAATGCTAAGTCTTAGTCCTTGACCAGTGCTTTGTTACCTATTTTGTCGTGAGCTGCACAGGCTGATGCTTGTTTCCAGGTATTGATTAGAAGGGTGCCAAAAAAATCCACTACAGGTGTTACTTTTGTTGTGAAAATATCAGCAGTTCAGTTAACTAGAGATAATGTCCCTGCTGCATGCTTTGGGGGCAGACATTCCCTCCCTCCTGGAAAAAACACCTCTCAAAACAATGGCTCAACGAAGTGCCTGCCTGCCTCCAAAGCTACGCATGTCAGCCAAGTGCCAAGTGAGGAGAGGAGGCAGAGCCACTGTTTGAGAAGAGTGATGCCCATTCTTGAGCCCCCTAAAAATATAGGCCCCTTATATGGCAGGAAACTCAGTGCAAGTTGAAGCTGTCAGAGGTGATTTAATTCTTGCTGAGTGCTCTTTGACTCCTCTCTGAGTCCCAGAATGAAGCTGAGGTCAGGGACTCAGTGACTGTTGGCTGCCAGCCCCATCACAGCTCTGGGAACAGCAGCTCATGTCCATGTAATGCAGATCAATAATCTCACCATGGGACTGATCGCTTGTAGCCATGTGCTGGGACTCCCCATCTCCAGTGTTAGAGATTGAGATGAGGCACAATAACTGCATTGAAAGGGAAGATGTGCCTTTTGTCCAGTAATTAATATTTCCCTTCCACGTGCACTTCTACACAGAATGGGCTGGATTACCTCACATTGAGCCAGAACATTCAAACCCGTTGATGACATTTCAAGCAATTGCAGCACTTGTTACATTAATGGCAAAATCTCCACAGCTTTTATGCCTCTCCCTTTTAGAGCTTAGGTTATCAGTGGTAACTCTATCCCCGATTATTTTTGGTAGAGTAGCTCTCATCCACCTTATATGCAAGCAATATGTTTGCTGTAGACATGGTGCTGCAGTCTAATCCTAGACCCATAATATAGCAGAGTGAGGAAAGGACCAGTCACCTTTAGAGAAGCCTTCCTAGTTTATGCCAGCAAAGGTTTGGGGTCTGTAAAGACTGTTGTTCATCAAAATATTGAAATTGCATATGATTACCTTAGATTGAAAAAATAGACGTATAGTTTTAAAGCATTTTCCTGGAATTGGTACAGATATTTAAGTGGTTATTGGTCAGTAATAGAATTCTGATCATTTAAATATCTGAAGTAAATCAAAAGCTTTTTTTTCAGAAGCAGCAGCTCAGATGTTATAATTTTAAATGTTATAAATATACCCACAGTAATGACTATAACACCAGTTCCTTTATATACATAGAAATTAGCCATGATGATCAATATTAATCTTTATTGCCTTTGAATTGAAATAAATTTAGAAATTTATTAATATATGCTATTACATCACACTGATTCACAGATTTATTTTATGGCTAAAAAGGGATATTGTATCAGTTTATCTCATCTCTTGTACAGCACATTGTACAGTTTCCTTATAGTAGTCCATTCAAATAAGTGTATCTCACACTTGGGTTTTAGGACCCATGTGTTCTGCGATTTTTACCTATCTGTTTTTAGCAAGCCCCTCACAGGTAGCCAACAATTTGTCTCTCTCCACGTTCTGATTAGCTTATACCAAAATTGCTGCTTGCTATATTGACTCCGCCAAGGTGGTGGTTCCTTGCACACCTTTCATTTAAACTCAGAGGCAGGTGTACTTCACAATATAACGATCACAATATAATCTTGTTCAGTTTAACAATTTTTTTCCTTTAGATACTGTCTTGGCAAGCTAATGACTGATTTCAGTATAGCCAAAATTTAATCTTTTTTTTTAGTAGGTGATCAGTATTGTTATGCATCTGCATTCCCACAGTCAGCGCTTTCCATTAACAAAGCCAGTGAAGGCATTCAAAGGCTGCATGACTGCATCAACAAGTAACAGGGACTTTTCTCTCAGACTTAACTACACCAAAGTTTGTCATGTCATGTGGACGTAAAGTATCTTAGCTATGAGTTGGAATTAACCTCTTTAGTCAGAACAACTGGCTAAAGAATCATAAATAAATTCAACTAGCTCTTGATATTGTGAGTATTTTATTATTTCAATTGTCCAGTCCTGTTACCACTGAGCTCAGACCCATCCACGAATTCAGCCCCTGCCAATTTGCTGTTTTCTTCTCCTATGTCTTTTCCATAAGCAGGACACATTTCACGTATGCAGGCTTGATTTTCAAGAACTTAAGCACATATGCAACTTACTAAAGCATGGATTATTCTATCAACAGCATAGTGTGGAAATCGCCTTCTTTTGGGGGTCCCTGTCACTCTCATTTTACTTCTTGCAGCAACTTATCAGTTACTTTCTCTGTTATTTCATAGAGCTTCTTGCCATGTGTCTCTAGATAAGATACAGTGACCACTAAATTTTCTGTAAGTTATAACAGAGTCAAAGAAAAGGGACCTATTCTATTCCCACACTACATCCCAGACGGGGTATTGGTTGTCTGGTAACATTTATCTTGTGGAATTTTTTTTCCACTTAATTAAATTTCCTCAGTGTAACAAACCAGTATGATTTTTGCAATACTGATTGTAGTTTTCCTGAGGTTTTACCATGGAGAAATGTATTCAGAACTTACTCTGTGTCTCCACTGGAAAGAGCTGTCTGCAGGAATTTGAGGTGCCCTTCTGACACTGTAATCCTAAGCAGCCCAGGGAAATTTAGGGAGAATCTCAGGATAGAAAAGTGCTGCTCGTTCTATTAAATCCTATTAAAATGTCATAAATGGAAAAATGAAGTTTAAACAAGGCTTAGGGAAGCACTTTTAGAGAAAATCTGTTGTTTTATATATCTTTATTTTTACCATTAAAGTTGCTTTTGTTTTGCTGCAGGCACGCATTGTGAAAATTGTCAGGAAAGAATAAGAAAATAGTAAAATGATTCAAGCCCAAATTAATGCCTTTATGGTTATAATTTCCTTTACTTCAGTTGATTTTTCCCTGGCAGAGCTTTAAGAAAAGTTCTATCTCACCAAATAACAGAAAATCCATAGTGCAAAAACAAGCAGATACTTGCAAGGAGCCCCAAAATTTTGCTGATGAACTCCTGGTGTTTTGTTAGTAGGTATTTCTAGAATGGATGACATCTGATGTGATTTTGTAGATGCATACTAAGGGAGCATACATACACACGCATACATACGTGTATATGTGGATGCTTTAAATATCTGTCTCAGTAGGTAACAGTGGAATTTACTCCATTCATTACTGATTCCCCTGGGGCTCTGGAATTTCAGGATCTGACATCTTCTGATAGAGAATTTCTAGTTGTGTTGTTTCAAATGCTGGTTTAAATAAAACAAACAAACAAACAAAACCATTAGCAGCACTAATACAGCACATCATGATGGCAGGTTAAATATAGACATGGATTACAGAGTCATTGTTTTCACTCCTGCTAAATAAGACAGTGCACTTAAAATGGAATGCCACTTGACCTTTTGTGTCTCATCAGTCTGTGACTGTATTTAACCGATGCAGGGAGGAAACATTTTCCCCTGGAACTGTCCCCTGTTGATATGACGATCGCTACTGCGGGGTCACGCCATGCACCAGAGGCAGAAGCCCAGCGCTCCAGAACACACGAGCGATCCTGCAGCCGATGGAGGAGCTCTGTCCATGTCTCACAATGACTCACGCTCTCTTCTCAACTTCTCTCAGCTTGTGCTCTCTGCTGGCCAAATCAAACCGTCACCAGGGCTCAAACATTCAAAAATCACATACTTTGAAGTAGAAATTCTTGATGTGCAAAGCAAGAAGCAGATCTGCATTGTGGACAAGGTGAGTGTATTATTCCAGCATGCTGGGGATGTGCCTGGTTCACACAGTGCCAGTTCAGGGACTCTGTTTTCACTGTGTTGTGGTCTTACTCTGCAGTAGAAGTATTTTCATTCTTTGGGAGATACTCAGAACTTTTTGTTAGTCACAATTCTGGGCTGCTTTTCTCCAGGGTTTTTACAAATAATCCAGCACTGGTTTGTTTTAGACCTCCTGGTTGTTCTGTGGACTCTAGATCTGTCCTTAGACTGTCTCTTGACAGTGTTTATTTCAGAGCATGATACTGAAATGTCTGCTTCAAAGTGGATATTCAGTTTTAATACATTTGTAAACCTTACCATCTCAGTAATGATGGTATCCACACACACTCAACTGCACACTACTTATTAGATTGGGCAGGAACCTGACATTTTAAAAAAATTTTAAGTTTTAAACAAAGAGTCTTATCTAAAAGAGGTATTTTGAGATTTTGATTGGTTAGTTTGTTTGTTTTAATAATGTGAGTAAAAATACAAACTACGGCCAAATTTTATAAGTAGGATGAGAGGACTAGGTGGGAATGAAGTTTCCAAACCCACAAAAAACAGCTAAAAAAAATGCTTTGCATTGCAGTTTTTGTGATTCATTTTGTGATTCTCAGCGGAAGAGCTGGTCTGTTGCATGCCATGAAAGTGGGAATCCTAATCTATTTAGACTATAGAATTTTTCAGTAACATAGTAGAGTTTTGAGACTTACTGTTTTGCTAGAAGAGAAAAAAATAAAAATAAAAAAATTCCCTTATCCTCACTGGCAACAGCTGGAACTGGTAGATAAGTTTGCTTCAAGCATTTAATGCCTTTGAAATATGTAAGGTGGAATACTACCAGATTTCTAGTGTTCTTGATCATTTAAAGGGTGTTTTTGCAATTTTTATGCCTAGTTAAAGGTAAATGTCTCATTTGTTCATTCTTTATGAGGCAAAATATTTTCTGATTTTTTTTAAATCTAAACAAAGAGGAAATATGTACAAAATGGTCAAATAAATATGATGACTATTAATACCAGTTCTAATGGTAGTGTTCACATTATTTAATTTATTGAGTGATATTTACACAGTTAGGTTATCTACATACGATACTGAATTAGGTTTTGATCCAAAGAAAGACTGAGTCTGTTCTTTATCTTGAGCTTTCCTATAGTGTCATTAAAAGATATATATTACAGAAACAGAATCAGGTAAAGAGCCACATTTCAGGAATCCTTCCATGATGCATGCTTTTGAAATGATAGCAGACCCGTGTTTTAATTTTTATTCTGAATTTTGATGAGCCTTAAGATTTTCTACACCTTATCCAAACCATGGACTCTGCCCCTGCAGTGGTGGAAAGAGAGACATGAGTGGTGATTGAGAAGTACTCTCCATATAGAGGTAAAATACACACAAGGGAGCAATAACAACTGTAAACTGAAAGTCTCTGCTCAAAAACAGGAATCTGTGTTCAATTTACAAGGCCAGCACACCAAGGGATTGGTACAAGTACAGTACAAGGCTCAGATTTCCAAGACAGCCTAAAAATTTGTTTTTTGAATGCTCATTCACCTGGCTGTCTAGGTCCCTTCATTTGCTGTGATAGTCCCTTCCTAAGACAACCCTGAAAGTACGGAAGTTGAGTTCCTTACTTCCATGAACACTTGTTAGTATTGGTGAGCTTTGTTTCTGTTGGTTATTAGAGTAAAAAAGAGACTGTTTTACTGGATTATGCATAATCTTCTGTTTGATTAAATGTAACTGATACAGGCCCAACATGACCCTTCTAATGCCTCTTTTCTGTTTTTAAGATAATTATGATTAACTTTGTTTCCTGAGATTGCATGTAATTACTACTTGTCAAGATTTATAATAGGAAGAACAGGAACCATAGATTTTAAAATGTATGTGTTTGCACTCCTATTGCATATTGTTAGTAGTTCAGACTATTATGATTTAGCAAATACATTTCTAATATTCTCAGATTAATAAATCTAAAGGGACAAACAAATAATGGCAGAGAGAGCAACCTTTTCTTTTTCTACATAATAGAAACTCAGGCAGAGTGATTCAATGATTAGTGCTATGTGGTTAAATACCAGTGGCTGCTTCCAGAGGTTCAGTTTCTATGAGACTCTGCATATGAATCCATTCAGATCAGTGGGAGCTCTGTAAAGTCTGCAACATCATGATACGTTTAACTAGTTCTGCTTTTAGAAAGAAATAATTTCTTGTCCTTAATACAGTGTCAGGGATTTAGAAAAGGTGTGTTTAGCTGTGTGATCTCAAGAAATCAATTGGCATAAATAGGTTTTGAATCCAGCATAAGTGTGAATTAATTCTCTATCTGTAAAATGAAAATAACATTATTTTCTTTGGCTTTCTTACCTGTCTTATACTTTTGGGAAGGACCAGTCACTTACACTAAGTGAACTGAGTGGTTACTATGAGTTTTTGATCATCTTTAACATAAAGAAACAGAATAAATACAAGTTTGTCTGCTTTCTAAGCCCGCAAGACAAATTCACATCACACTGCAGGCTTTTCCACAGTCAGGAAAGGCAGAAAAAAAATACTGAAAGGAAGCAGTAGGAGAGGAAAATCCCAGACATTTTGTCCCATAGTCATCTCTTCAGGAGCTAGGTCTTGAAGAAAATTACCTAATCTTGCAAAACTCGAAGTAAATTCACAGGAGTCAGCAACACCGGCAGTTCATTTTGCACATTCACACTGTGAACATAAAATTCTTCATATGAATATAATTTCTTTAATATTGTCAACCTGCTCTGGGGACTTTCTCTGCTATGGATATGGCATTATGCAAGTAGTTTGGTGCACACAACCTTTTCCAGGGAGTTACTTAAAGAATTTAAAAGAGAAATAATAAGTAATGTGAGATCTGTAGCCAGATGGGGGTCAGTCTCTTCTCCCAGGCAACCAGCAGTAGGACAAGAGGGCAGGGTCTTAAGCTGTGCCAGGGGAGGTCTAGGTTGAATATTAGGAAAAAATTTTTTACAGAGAGAGTAATCAGACATTGGAATGGGCTGCCCAGGGAAGTGGTGGATTCTCCGTCCCTGGAGGTTTTTCAGATGAGACTGGATGTGGCACTTAGTGCCATGGGCTAGTAACCATGGTGGTGTTGGAGCAAGGGTTGGACTTGATGATCTTGGAGGTCTTTTCCAACCCAGTCGATTCTATGATTTTATGATTCTGTAATCTTTCCCTCCACATTTGCTCTTGGCATAGAAATTAATTCTGAGGTGGTAGGCCATGGAGAAAAGGCTTCAGATTTTGGGGGATCAGGGCAGAGAAAGGAGGAATCAGCAGTCAAAGGCCTTACAAGAGCTGGTGCCTGAAAGCCACAATTAGGAATATTTAGCCAAGAAATTTGGCGCATATTTTGACAGTCAGTCAAGGGGTGATAAGGAACACTTGGGTGTCTTGTGGCTCAGTCTTCAGTCTCTTTTGTATTGCTTCCAAAAAGACATAATAAAAACAGAACATGCAAAATTGATCAAGTATTATAAATGAAAGAAAACAATTCCTTTTTGTACTTTTTAACAAATAATCTACATTTTTTGCCAGCCACAATTTATGAAAAATACATACCTTCTCAAAAACTGTTTTACTTGTGCATTGTTTCAAAAGGCTGATGTAGGTTGGTTTTAAAGTTATCGATGTGCAATGATTTGATTTATAAATGCTGTTAAGGCAACTCATAACTGGTTTTTTATAGCATTCAATGTATAATATTTTTTTCTTCAAATTAACTTGTAGTAAAATGTATTTTCCCACAAACATAGTGCCATGTAATTAACTTTGCATGAGTTGCTTTTAAGGCAGAAAGTGTTACACAATACAGTTTTTACAGAATAAATCACCTTTGGGGAAACAAGCAGAGAAAGCTTTTTCCCATCTAAAGCCTCAGAGCTCAGTATTTTTTTGCTATCCGATTTTGCAAGTTAAGCTGTAAACAGAGGTGCAAACTCAGATTTTGGCTACTATGCAGTGACCCTTCTTTTCAGAAAACTTCCTAATTTCTACTGAAAAGAGCTTGCTTCCTAAGATGTTCAGGATGTTCACACTTTCTTGGTGTGCTGCAAGGATGATGGAAACTACTTTCCTGCTGTTCCTTAACCCAGCTCTCCGTGCACTACACAATGCCTTCTCCCGCTGAAATCTCTTTGTAAAACCCAGTTACTGATAGTTAAATGCTTATGGTTAGGAATATACACTGTAGGAACATTTAACTATATGTTTGTGCTTATAGACATGCTGTGCAATGCCTTTAATGAAAGTCATGTGAACACTGTTATTTTTATTAGATTAAAAGACCATTGCATTGACACAGGTCTGTGCATCAACCCCATCACTTGTATATACACAACTCTTCTTGCACTTAAGTATAACACCGTGTGTATTATTACATCTTTGTCAAAGATTAATTAGGGCTTATTCTGATTACTCTGAAAGGCCTGTCTTTGTATGAAGGCGTTCACAAGCAATTTTTTGTTTGAAAAGCACCGAAAACAGTAGTGTCCTTGTATCTGCATACTGTGGCTTAACAATACAGTGGATTTACACTGGCATGTCAGCAAAGCAGAAATGGTACCTCTAGTATCAGAAATCTATTAGTCTCACCTATGGGTTGCAGCTCTATCACAGAAAGTGAACAGCCGAGAAGAACAGTCATTGCCGGCTCTCTTTTGCATAGTCAGCTCTAGCAAATAAAAATAACTTCTCACATCATGACTTGGAGGTTAGAGATACCACATTCATTTGAGGTGAGCAAATGCAATCACTAAAGTAGGCAATGAAACTCTGCAAAGGAACTCTTTGCAGTACCAGAACATCGCCTCTAACATCAGACTTTCCTCATTAGCCTCATTATAAGGAAGCAAAGTAAAGAAGGCCTTTCCCAGGAGAGTTTAATATTTTAATTGCCTTTTTTTAGTATTTTTATAATATTTCACTTCAGAGGATTATATATTCTTC